TTAGCGAAAATATCATGTGATAATTCCCAATGACTTTTAATATGGCCATTTATCTTAAATGTATTGGCAAATGAAATTGTTTTTCTCAATTGGAACTGATTTGGGTTTCTTGGAATGATGGAACAAAATCACTAATGGAAACTTGTATAATTGCTAAAGGGTGTTTATTCAAGTGTAATCATTCAGATTCAAGTTATTGCAAGGATTCACAGGAATACCATCAATTTACTTGATGTAATGATTTTAAAATGTTTGACATTTACAAAGTTATTCTTCCAATCTATTCATTGATCCATTTGCAAAAAAAACGAAAAAAATCTTGTTGAAGTCATTTCACTATTTTTTCTATCTAAAGCTAAGTTCAAACCAACAGCACTTTAAAGCGCCGTGCTAAGGGGCTTTGCACGGTGCTTTAAAGCGCCATCAAAGCACCATTGGTGTGAACTTAGCTTTAACTAGATTTAACAAGGATTGTTGTCTGTATTTTACCTTTGGTTTGAACCTTTCAGAGATCTTGACAAAATATATTCATTACAAAGATTGCTCAGAACAATTAGAAATAGTTATTGAGTAGCTGCCTGCATTTAAGATGATCTGACCATTGTGTTCTTGAAGACACAACCATCTCCTTCACTGAGGAACGTTTTCATTAAAATGACTTGAAATGGCAACTTGCTCTGTTATTTTATATTCAATGTGGGTAGAAAGTCTGAAGCTTTGAAAGTTAATCAATAAAGCGATTATCACCCTAATGAAGAGCTCTTGGTTAATGTTTCCCTCCAGTCAAACAACATAAAATTAGATTTACAATTGGGATCTTTTTTGTTCTTCTTTATAATAAACCTTTGTAATTACAGGAATAGTGGATAAAAGATTTGCTCCCTTGATAGCTTTGAAATTTCCCTCAAGTCAGAGGTTTGGTTGTTATACCCAAATGAAGTTCTACTTCGATGGTTATTTCTAAGTGGAAGATTTTAGCTTAATTATCTGGAGAATGGTAGGGAATTAGCATTCTGATACTCATAGCATCTTTCTGTTTCACCTGAAACATCTCAGGGCTGAGAAGAAATGAGATGTCATGGTATATCATGATGGGGAATTAGGATTCAACTGAATTAGTAAACGTCCATATATGGGCATAACCAAGTATGAGTTAGGTGAGGCAATGGCCTTAACAAATATTACTGTAAAATATAAATTCTGAAACGTTCACTTAAATTCTGACTGAGATCCATTTTAGATAGGTGCAAATTAATTTCAGTAGAGAACAGAGAATTTCCTGCTTTTGGTAAATGAATGAGTGCAAAATGCTTTAATATGCAACACTTTAATATGTACACTTCCCTCTCAATATATACAGTAAATCATGTGTATAATGAACAATGATAATGCCACAAAAATGTGGTTCTCTTTAGGAAGGTGTTCAGTACAGATTGACAGAGAGGGTAAATTATACAGAATGTGTTCAGAATGGGTGTTCACTAGAGACAGGTGTTCTCCAAGACAAGTTTTCCTGTATCTATAAAACCTCACAAAATCCTTTATATTGTTGTCAGATTGAAGCAAATCAGATTTGATATCTCTAATTCAGTTCATTGCAAATAAATCATTCCAGTTATTTAAGCAGATAAGACAAATTGTGTCATGTTATATTTTTCCTGAACCTTAAGACACCTTATGATAACCTACAGCTAGAAATCTGTCAAGAAATAATCTGACACCACAAACAAACTGGTATCTTTCATTGCTATACATCATGTTTATATCCCATTATTATTCATATCGGGATTTATATAGATGTTCAGTATGACAGATATTGCAGTATCTAAGTTTTATGTCCTGTGTTCCTGGATGTTTACGCAATAGTATAAACAAGGGGAAGTCAAAGTCATCAAGAAGCTGTTTTTGAAGTAAATACAATATATTTTTGAATTATTCTTTGAGAAAATGAATAACAGAACACAGAACCACTAATTGCCATGGCTAGAATTGTAAATTGAAGAAATCAACAGTAAGAACTGAAGAATCAGCTCTCACGTACCAAAACAACTTTCCATTAATTTTTACTGTGCTTACTTCATACCAATTGGCACTTAGAAAACCCATTTAGGCCCCCTAGATTGGCGAGAATGAAAGCCTTCTAGCACGGCAATTACAAACAACATCTCTTTCCATTGATTTTCTTATCCATGTTATTATCAGTAGTATTATCAAGGCTTTGTAATGACCTCCTTGTCTCTTTATAAAATATTGACTCCTGGTTCAGGGTTGCTGAAATAATTAGGCTCTTCTGACTGAATAGCCATTCAGATACATCCTATGGGCCATTGATAGCTCTGTAACTACATTTTCATTACAATTTGCTTTTAAGCATTCTTGTAATATTGATATTGCAGTGTTTCTCTATGAGAGTGTGTTTTTCATGCAAACTGGAGATACATCATATCTGATTTGTGGTAGAATTCTAGTTATTCCTTTATTTTTGCTATTTTATGGAAAACTTTGAATACCACAAAATATGAACACTTTTTGTAATCCCATATTTTGAACATCATGTAAGTACAGCATCTTCATGGGAACACTTAGAAATGTAAACACTTTTTTAGTTAATATCTGCATTGTTCACTGCAGAGAGGTGATAAGTGTATATTTATAAATGATAGTCAAATTAACAAACTCAAACAATGAAAAAAGCAAATATGAGAAGTGCTCAGTATACTAAGTAGGGTTACACCCATTTTGGGATCCATCCCTTGGAATAGACTCCTCTCACAAACTTTAGATAAAGAGAGACTGATAAACCAAAATGTGTTACACCCAAAAATTAGGTATACTTTTTCTGGATAAACCAGCAATGTTTTTGTGTGGGTTAAGGACATTTCCCTATATTCCTCCCTACTCTGTTATGTACCTTGAAGCCCAAAGCTATGTAAGATCTTCTTAGTATGTAAAATCAAACTCTTGAAAACTATGATTTTAAATGTCATACATGAAATGGATAATTGTATTGTCTTTATGACATTCGTAAAAGACATTCTAGAAAATGTATACCCAACTGTGGGTGTAAGCTTTCTGCAGTGTATTGAGTGAGTATATTCAAGTTTCATATATGAGATTTACAATCATCTCTCTTGAAAAGTATACCCAAGGGAATTCTTTTCTTTTACTTTAGGAAAGAAGATTACTGCTGAGTAACCTTTAAATCAATGGTAAATGGTATTCTATAGTCTTATGTAACATAACGTTTATCAATTGATTGAGACATCTTGTGAGTTACAATATTAGATTTGGGTTACTCCTAGTATTGATGGACATTGAGTGGATAATTCAATTACTCACTGGGAAAGTTTATTTGACATTGCAATTTGGTGTCAAGTATGGGATATAAATTGTATATTGATCTGTCTTCATGTGAAATCTGATGTCTTGTATATATTGGTCTTTGTTAAAGTGATGGGACATGTAGTCATTTCCCAGCATCAATTAGCATTGGTTTCATAATCTCAGGATGTATATGGTTATCTTTGATTTCCTCATTTGGTTAAATTATTCAACAGTTCTCAACAGCTGCAAATTTCATATTTTGTCATTTTGGCTAGAGATTTTTCCTTTTTAAGGAGGTGCAAATTGGTTCATGGGTGCAAGGTGGGTGCAATCCTTTTTTCAAAATGTCAATTATTTCAGTGCCTACTTGCTTCAATGCTTAGGAATCCCTTTTAAGTTGTATTGTTAGCTTTATTTTACTTGAAATTACATATTTAGTTATCGGTATTGTAGTTCTAAGGTCTGTTTTTAAGTGATCTCTTATAAATATAAGTCATACTTTTCATTTTTAGGCCAATGGAGTTCTCAATGTTTAGAAATAAGAAAGTCAGTGTTCTTGACATAAAAAAAAGATTCTTATTTTCAATTTCAGTATCACAATATGCTTTGGTGCAATCCTTTACAAAACATGTATACTGTACATGTATGTTAAAAATATACCAGGGCTTAATATTAAACTATGTTAAATGTTAATAGTTGAAGTGATAGTTCAAGTAAATTGAAATGTTTGGTCAAGACAAACAATTCAACAAATCTCTGATAAAAAAGTGATAAAATATGTAGGATTTTTAATAGATATGAGATATGTACACAAAGTGCATATTTTTTTGTCTGAAATTTATATAGTCTATGCAATTTGTATTCAGTTGGAATATTCAGGGTGTTTCATAATAACTGTCTCCCCTTCAACCACCAATCTTGGTTGGCATACCTCCACGTCTTATATATTTTCAAAATTTATTTTTGATAAAGCAGGAACGCGATTCGTGCATGTTGTTTGATAGTCTTCAGTTTACCATTTTGGTATTATAGGCTACAAATATGGAGATCGACTTAACATTTAGTATGGAAGCATGTGTAATTTATCTATCTGATCTGTTGATAAGGTTATCTCTATTGAAACATGAGGTACTTAGTGATATCAGTATTGTTGCTTCACCTTTACTTACTAGCCTTACTGTATGTCAAGTCTAGGGGTATAATTCTAGGTCTAAAGGTCTATCTTCCACGTACAGTAAAATTTGTAAAGTGGGGCAACTATGAATTGCTCTGGTCACATTTGCTCTATGGCAACTACACAACTGCAGTTCCCTGAAATTTGAGACCTATGGCAACCACAGAAAATCTAGGGTCATAGTAGAAGTTATAATACAGTTACTGCTTTTTTGTTCATTTTAATGCTACCATAGCCATGTCATGATATCAGACTGTCCATATTTGAAAACATAATCGAGAAAGAGATTATCGATGTAGTCTTGCATCAAACCTTTACTGCTTTTGATCCTGACCCTGGATCCTCTCACCCCCTCCCCCTTATTAACTTCAACAACCTGTTGTTGAAGTAGATAAGGGGGGTCCAGGGGTTTTGAAACAAGACAAGATGCATGTTATACTGAATTAAAAATTGACACCTCCTTTACCTAAGTTTTAAATATGCTTTTGTTTTATATTTGCAGGATAATGAAAACCCAGCATTAAAACTCAAAGATGATATTGTTGACATACAAGGAGGACGTGGCCGCAATCATGACCCAATGAAAGATGTAGACATCGTTATAGGGCATGATGAGGAGTTACCAGGTGAACCTAAAGACAATAAATTAAAATTCATACCTGAAAAAACTAAAGACAGTAGACTCACATGGCAGTATTTTGACGAAAAAGCTTATGTTGATAAAACTCGGACTAAGGATGGTGATGATGTTTATGCAAGAAATAAGTTTAACCAAAGGGCTAGTGATGATATCAAAAGCAATAGGGATATACCAGACACGAGACACCAGTTGTAAGTGTGTTTAACAATATATGATATTAAAGGTGAAATCAGATCTATAAGGGATGACAAATTGCAAGCAACATGGAGAATTGACCAAACAATATATTGTTTAGGATCTCATATAATATCTCCCAAAAGATACGTGATATGTTATAATTTTGGTTGTTAAAAATTCAAAGTGCAAAAATGGGGAGAACATGTTTAAATTCTCCCAAATAATAAATGTGGTAATCACATTTATAGAGAAATGATATATTATTGTAAAAATCTTTAGTTTTCCTGAAATCTTGCATTTTCGAGATTCTTAGAAAATAGACATGACAAGTAATGATGAGCCAACAATTATAAAAATATAAGGTTGCTCGCTAGATCTGATGCTACCTTTAATATCATAAAACATGGTTGAATAAACAAAGTATTTACATACAATTACATGCCCATACCAACAAATTTACCTGTAATACATCTCAACTGAGTTATTAATCAGGACAATGCATGGGATTGAATGATGATTTAATTTATGTTTACGTCTATTAATCTCATTGATTTCAGCTGTTATTAGCTATTTATCATTTATTCATTGTTTGCTTTTATTTTTATGCCATATTTAATATTCTTGATTTCACTTACAGTTTCCTGCTAGTGACCAAGCTCCAGCATCCTGTTTGAAAACATACTAGTAGATTATGTTTTCAAATTCTTTGAAATATTCAAATTATCTATAAGAAGAGTTTTAAAAGATAGATTGATATGAAGTCTATTAATCGTCTAAAACTCTGAAAGTAAAAATACCATATCTCTCTTGAAACACACATACAGTAAAACCTGTCTTAGGGAACACCTCTCTAGTGAACACCCATAGCCTGTGTTTAGTGAACACCTCTTTAATACACACTTTACATTGACTCATGTATAAAATCCCCTCTCTGTAGTGAACACTAAAGTGAACACTTTTTTATGGCTCTATAAGTGTTCACTATATGCAGGTTCAACTATATATGTCTTCTACTGACTTCTGTATAGAAAATCTCCTTAAGTGAACACCGTACCTAGCAAAAAATACGTTCAATTTGGAAAGGGTTTAACGGCCCTTTAACAAATCTTACTAGATGAGTGAGCCAAGGATAGCAATGCCAGGCTGACCTGAAGCACTAACCTGAATAATAGAAATAATGTTCTGGGTTTAGTAGTGCATAGAAAAGTGTTGTTAATTACCCCACTGAGAGCACTAATAGATTCCATTTACACTCCACACATTGGTCCATGGTTAAAGTAATGCATCATTCTTGTACCTGTTCATGATATTCAGATCAAGGGTAAAGCCCCAATTCTTTATTTTTGTAAAAAGGCAATATCATATTGATGTGTTTTTAGGGATAATTGAATGATTTGTTGATTGATAGATGATTAATCGATATTGAGTGATTGGTTGATTGATTGGTTGACCAGTCATGAATTTCTTTGATGAACTTCTGTGCCATGAGGTGAAATCAATATACAAAAACATAAAATAACAATTTAAAGTTTATGCAGATAGAATTTCACCATGTGCCCTTTGGACTATTTAGATAATTCAGAAATAAATAAACTACCTAAAATTAATCAACCCTTTCGGAGGTCACTTCTCTTATAGTTACAGTGCCTGATTTTTCCCATCTTTTATGTCACTTGTTACAATCTCTAAATTTTTGTAGATGGTATTCAGCATTTGGCGGTTGGTATTCAGCATCTATAACAAGTGTAACAAATGGCAGGTGATGACATTTTACATGTTAATGTCTTGTCTTTGTCGTGATTCAGGTTTTTTTATCAAATATTGGAAAAGGTATAGAACCATAGCCCTTACAAACAATAATACGCTATTTGTAAGACAGAGAAACCTGTAGACTTCGTATATTTATTCACAAGAGGTTGATGATATTGAGACTTAAGTCAGTAAATGATTTCCCATGTGGCAGCAGAGGCTATTTTGTTCACTGAACTATGATCTTGATAATAGTGTCTTTGCCATTTTTATACCCTGAGCGCACCTATCTGACTGAATAAGAAATGAGACATCATTACAGTGGTCTTTGTTGAATTGCTTAGGCAGTCAGCATCTGTAACAAATGGCAGGTGGTGATGTTTTGCTTGTCAATGCCTTGTGCAACCCTATGAAATGACAGAGATCATGCAGTTACTACGGCAGGAAGGCAATGACATTTTCCTTTGGAAGATACAGCTACAATAGGTCTAAGGCTCTTCAAACTACAGTCTCCTGGTTGTTAGTCGAGCATTTTTATCAGATACGATCTGTTTTAAGTAAACATGATCAGAAATTGGCATTTGGTGTTTTTGCAATGTTAACTCTTCCTTGAATAATTCAACATCAAAATCAATGCATAGATAGCCCATGGCAATATTGTTTTAGTATATAATTTTTATGTGGCTGACTTTGATGAGATTAAGGATACGTATTGATTCCTGATCAGACACCTAAGGGGCCAACATAAGTGTGAATTAGTTTAGAAATAAACTGATCTCTACCCCTATTTTTTAAAATAGAATAAATATGGATGAGGTTTGATTTTTTTCCTTGAATTGATCCTGGGCAAGGGTTTGTACACAGCCAATCCCTAACAGTACTGTATGGTACCATTTTGGCTATGGTACTGTATGGTACCATTTTGGCTATGGTACTGTATGGTACCATTTTGGCTATGGTACTGTATGGTTCCATTTTGGCTATGGTACTGTATGGTACCATTTTGGCTATGGTACTGTATGGTACCGTTTTGGCTATGGTACTGTATGGCACTGTCAAATGTGTCAAATGCATTACTGTACCATAGACTAAAACAACACCATGTAGTGCTATGGACACTGTACAGCACCATACTCAAACGATACCATACTGTGCCACACTCTTGATTTCAGAGTGCCAAATGGTCGTACACATATCACGGGGACTATCCAGTCCCCGCTGACATCGTGAGCAATTAGAAAGCTTGAGAGATATGATAAAATTGAAAGATAAAATTTTCTATGAAACTTGAGTAATTTAAACTCAGTAGAATTTTATATCATAGGACAATGGCTATTTCAATTGCAGGGCAATGATGTTCTTCAACTATAACTATATTTTATCATCTATCTCAAGGCCCTGCATCTAACATGGGCTAATAGCTCCCGATGACAGTGGGAACTTGTTTGCGATATACAGGGCCTGGATAGTCACCGTGCATATATGTTTTTTAAATCCATTTTCAAAACTGGCTTGTGTTTATAGTATGATCCCCTGGGATTTCCTAATCATGTATTTTGTTTACAGTTATGTTGACATACAACTTCCCTTCGGAAATCTCATTATGTTACAGATTTAAAGTGTCAAGTTGTGTATTAAGACATTTGAAAGTTAAAGTGCCATGCTACGAGTGATTTATTTTTGGAAATATAATATATCTTAATAGAATTCAATATTTTCTTCTCTGAGGAGTCATTTCTTTGATTTAAAAAAACATTTGGGTTACTTTGCAAATGTTTGTATATACAGGGTCAGCCAAAAAAGAATCTGAGTGAAAAGATGAAAAGTCTTGGGGATCATATCGGGTTGGAGCACAGTTTTTAAAATGGCCATAAAACCATGACCATTGGGAATAGACTCTTGAAAAAACATTGAACAAGGTTCAATTATGCTGAATATGACTTTGAATCCATGCTAGATGACAATTAACATTTGTTTGGGTTATCCTTTTTGGCCCAACCTGTATAATAGGACTAGATATCCTTTTTATTGAAAAGACCTTTCAAACATTCTGGTACTCATCCCTTCTTCAATCTCTAAGAAATTACCATGGTATACATGGTACTTTTCAAGAGTTTGCCTAAAACTTTAAAGAGTAAACATGTGTTAACACTAAAAAATGTGTTTTATGTAACTCAGGATCAAGAACCAATTCGTTTCAAATTGAGCCGAACTTAATTTGATGTTGTTAACCATATTGGCAGTTAGTTACTCGCTGAGAAGCTTGTAAATAAATATTTGGGGTCATTCTAACTTGAGTATTTTACCTTGTCTGTGGCTTGTTAGAAATGAATTTAAATAACATGTGCGACTCTATTCTACAAAACCAACATTATGTTTTGATAAACTTGCATCAATATTGTGGTTGGTTTATGATAGATTACTAAAAATATTGGGCCTTCTCTAGTATGCATTTCTTAAGACACTTTTTGTGGACGGTTTTTGGTGGTTGGTGTTTGGCAGTTGGGATCTGTAACAAATGGCAGGTGGTGACATTTTCCATGTTTATATCTTACCAATGGCATATTTTATGCTTTCACCAAAGATGCAAAAATCTAAGAATCCTTGAAAGATATATGAACACTCTATAGAATGAAATATTTGTATAGTATCATTTTCTCCCAAATACCACATTGATGTGATAAACATCTTGATCTATCTAGGTGTTTCCTTGTAAAGTTCCATGTTTGACTGAAAAGTAATACGCCTGTAGAGCGGTATGACATAACATTTTGATATGAAAGATGAAAATCATCAAATAATGATCTGTATTTTGAAACATATCAGCAATATTGAAAGACAGACAGGTCTAGTTGATTACGTTGACAGGATTGTCAAACTTTCAACTGATGGTTATAGATTTTCAAGCAGTTGCAACTGAATTCATTTTGAATTCTAGAGAAGGTGGGTGTAGTAGCAAGATCTTTCCTCTCCAAGATTGTTCAATATTATCTGATTCTCTTTGATTTGCAGATAAACCCCTGAACTCAACTAGCCAATCAAAACTTCACCCCTTAAAGAGTCTGTTATTCTAGGAATAAAGAATCCTGTATCATTTATTATTGGAAAATTAAAAGTATGAGTGCATGTTCTAACTTGTACATATATAATGCACAAGGATGGAGCTCTCTGTTAACAGTTAAGCTGCTCAGTTCATTATGAAACCATAATGCACTTTAAAATAATGTTTCTGCTCAGTTCAACAGATACCTTCAATTAATGCACT